GGCGCTTCTTCAGCTCTTTACCTTCACGGCCGGGCCCACCCTAAACCCTAAACCCTAAACCCTAAACCCTAAACCCTACACCCACAACCCTAAACCCTAAACCCTAAACCCTAAACCCTAAACCCTAATCCCTAATCCCTAAACCCTACACCCCCAACCCTAAACCCACAGAGGGAGGGAGCAGGACATCATCTTCACCTCTTTCGACCCTTGGGCTTGGAACTGTTAATACCTAGGGTTCAGGGGTTTAAGGGTTTAGGGTTTTGGGGTTTAGGGATTGGGGTTTAGGGCTTAGGAGTTTAGGGGTTTAGGATTTAGGGTTTAGGGTTTAGGGTTAAGATAAGCCCCTAAACCCTGAACCCTAAACCCGATATGATGGGTCGGAGTCCTTGGCTCCATGAAGTTCGAGCATGCTGCTCACACCGTGGTGTACATCGTCCAGCCTGGGCTGATCATCAAGGCTTTGAAGATGGCGGAGGTCGACTTGGGGTTTAGGGTAGAGGGCTTAGGATCTACGATCTAGGGTTTAGGATTTGGGGTGTCGGGTTTAGGGTTTCGGGTGCAGTTTGCGTTTCAGGGTTTGGAGTGTAAGCATGTTGCAGAAAGTTTTAATTTCTCACTACCGACCGGAGGTTGCAGGAATGGACTCTGCACTCGAACACCCTCAAAAAGAAATGCCGAACCCCAAACCCTAAGCCCTGAACCCTAAACCCTAAATCCTAAACCCTAATACCAAACCCTAAACCCTAAACCCTAAACCCTGAATCCGCAACTCGATCTCGATAACACCTGCCTCTCACACAGGAAGCTTTCAGGCCAAAGTCTCGAACGTTTGGTGAGGCTGCGGGTTAGAAGGGTGAAACCTTGCAACTTGCGTTAAGGGGCTTTGGGTTTAGGTTTCCGGGTTGCGTAACTGAACGGTAGATGTGGCTAGGATGAGCTTGGAGTTTTTGCACCAAAAATACTCAAAGCCGAAATTCGAACGATAAACCATGAAGAACCCGGAAGTTGAAACCCTAGACGCTATAGAGCTTAAACCTAAAGTTTAGGGTTTAGGGTTTAGGGTATTAATTAGTTCGAATATGCCTGGCCTGCGGGCCTTTTACCTTAGGTCTGCGTCTGCGTAACATCGCTTCCGAAGCCCTCACTTGCTGAAGCCCTGATCATACCAGGGCTTTGAGTTTGGGTAGGGTACTGGTCCCCCATACAGTAGCAGGCCGTAACAGTACCTTATATATCTATACCAATAGTATTTTTCTTCAACTGTCAATGAGTGGGGGGGTAGTATCCAAGGTTTGGGTCTACAGGAATGTACCGACGAATTTACTTACTTACCTAAATGCTTACTTCCTTACTTACTTATTACCTACTTGCAGACATACTGACTCACTTGCTTGCTACCCTAACCCCTAAACCTCAAGCCAAAAACGTGAAAAGGCAGGACCGCATGCAATTCAGGGATTCCATGTACTAGGGGTCCTGTTGGGGAGGTCCTGATCATGAGGATCCATTTTCGGTATCCTTACTACTACTACTACTACTACTACTACTACTACTACTACTCCTGCTGCTGCTGCTGCTGCTACTACTACTACCTCTACTAGTAGCATCACGTCCTACTCAAACGATCGCGGAGCTCGTCACTGGGGCCATTAGGCTTACGAATAAGGTAACTATGATGTGAGTATGTACAGTCCCAACAAAGGGCACTTCTACCTGCTCTATGTCAGTGTTATTAACCCTAAACCCTAAACCCTATAGAACCCAAGCCCTCGAACCCGATGCATTCGGAAACTCTCATCCAAGGAGCTCGTTGTCGGTCAAGTACTGCGATCCAACCCTCGGGTTCAGCAAAGCTCAGGGACCGCGGTTTAGGATTTAGGGAAGCCCGATTTCCCAATGTCCCAAACGCTGAAGCCATTTTGAAAACGTCGTCGGGTTTCGGGACTTCGACGACCCTTTCCTTCCAGAAAAGCACACCCTCAAACTAAAACCCAAACCCTAATTCCCAGACCTTTGCATCATAAACCCTAAAACCAAACACTCTTAGCACCCCCAAGCCCGCAAAATTAAAAAGCATGACCCCTAAAACCACATAAGACCCCTAACACCTCTTGATCCCAAGGCCTTGCAAACAGAAACCCTAAACCCAACCCTAAACCCTAAACCCTAAACCCGAACACCGCTAAAACAGAAACCCTAAACCAGAAACCCTAAACCCAAGAACCCTTAACAACCCCTCTTTCTGACCTTAAAGTGAGCGAGAGGCATCCTGCCCAGACCCATGGAATCCATGATAGAGCCTGTGGCCTCAAGGGTTTAGGGTTTAGGGTTCAGGATTTAGGGTTTTGGGGTTTAGGGTTCAGGATTTAAGGTTTAGGGTTTAGGGTTCAGGGTTTAGGGTTTAGGATTTAAGTTTTAGGAGTGATGGAGGCCTTTTTGATTTGGGGTTGAGGGGCTGGGCTTCTAGGGTTCAGGGCTTTGGGTTTAGGGGTTTAGAGGTTTAGCGTTTAGGGGTTTAGGGTTTGGGGGTTTAGGGTGTAAGTGTCAGGGCTTAGGGTTTAGGGCTCGTTTGGCTTAGGGTTGGAATTATGGTTCTGGGGGCTCGTAGGGCTCAGGGTTAGGCATACTGTTTGGGGTTACCGGGTAGGTTTTGGGAGGATTTAGGGCTTGATGTCGATTCAGGGTGTTTAGGGCTTTTGGGGTTTAGGGATTGTAGGAGGGTTAGTGACGTCGTAGGGGTGCATCGGTGCGTTTTGTCGTGAAACGAACTGCATTTTCTTGCCAGAAGTTTCATGAACCCCTCAACCCTAAACCCTAAACTCCATCTGCGTCTCGACATATGCCAGCATGAACTTCAACGATGACCTTGTTCAGTTTACCCTAAACTTAAACCCTCGAAGTCTAGAGCACAACCTCTCAACCTCAAAACCTAAACCACAAAAGCCCAAAGCACGGAATGCTAAAGGCTTTTATATATATATATACATATACATATATATATATATATACTATACTTAAGGAAACCCCACAACCCTATTCTAATTACTAAGGGCCCCACATTGCTTAGGCCCTCGCTCTAGAGCCCCAAAACCCTGAAATAATCCCTAAAATTCACGGAACACGCAAGGGAAGCCTTTAAAGAGACCCTTTTCCAATCCTTGCGGCCTCTGTGCCGCAGAATCCCGAAACCCGAAGCCCTAGAATGAACCCGACAAACTCGAAACCCCTTCAGCCCCAAACCCTAAACCCTAAACCCTATGCCTATAAACCCTCAACGCCAAACCCTAAAACCCGAAAGCCCTAGAACCCGAAAGCCCTATAAGCCCTGAGCCCTGAAATCCTAAAGCCCGGGCCCTCTGGCCCCAAAACCTGGGCTTAGGGTTTAGGATTTAAGGTTTAGGGTTTAGGATTCAGGGTTTAGGCTTTAGGGTTTAAGTTTTAGGGTTTGAGGTTTAAGATTTCAGGTTTAGGAATTAGGATTTAGGGTTTAGGAATTAAGGTTTAGGGTTTAGGCTTTAGGGTTTAGGATTTAGGGTTTAGGATTTAGGGTTTAGGATTTAGGGTTTAGGATTTCAGGTTTAGGGTTTAGGATTTAAGGTTTAGGATTTAAGGTTTAGGATTTAGGGTTTAAGGTTTAGGGTTTGAGGTTCAGGATTTCAGGTTTAGGGTTTAGGATTTAGGGTTTAGGATTTAAGGTTTAGGGTTTAAGGTTTTAGGGTTTAGGGTTTTACGGTTTAGTGTTTGGGATTTATGTACTGGGTTTAGGATTCAAGGTTTATACGGGCGTCCAAACATCTCCTAAACCCTAAACCCTAAACCCTAAAGCCTAATCCCTAAACCCTAAACCCTAAATGTTAGGATTCAAGGTTTATACTAGGATTTAAACATCTCAAGGGCTCCGTGCAGGCCTTGCCAGAAGCGTTGGCGGCACCCGGGGTCGGCAGCTGACTCATGTCGGGATCCTGGCAGAGACTCTGGCTTCGCTATTTTAAGGTTTAGGGTTTAGGGTTTAGGGGGTTTAGGGGTTTAGGGGTTAGGGGTTTAGGGTTTAGGGGTTTAGGGTTTAGGATTATGTTAGGCTTAACCCTTAACCCTAAACCCTAAACCGCGAAGGGCTCAAAAAGGTTTTAGGATACCCTGGGGCGGCCTTTATTAGGTCCTTAATATGAACCCTAATATGTTGGGGGTTATAGGGCCAGGGTTTCTTGATCAGGTTCCTACATTACACGCTAAACCCTTAAGGGCTGGAACAAGGGCCTAATTACAGTTTAGGGGTGTCAGGTTTAAGTTCAGTGTCAAGGGTTTAAAGGTTTAGGGTTGTTTGTGTTTCGTAAGGTTTAAGACTTTGAGTGTGATATATACACACAGATATATATATATATATGCAAACACCCCCCAAGAACTATGGGATTACCATATATAGATATATATGTACGGTCTGATTACATGATAATAAATACTCCCCTTTTACCCCTGCGTATATTGAGACTACGTAACCTATGTGAATATTACATATACAGACACACAGATGAATGTGCATGATTAGTATATGTGTACACATATGTATATATATATATATGTATGTATGTAACACAGACACACCCAACCCCTGTTCCAATTTCAATTATAGTTGAGGCTCCATAGTTTCAAATTAAGGTTCTTAGGGTTCGATGCGAGATGGCAAACAGAGCTTCCGAGATCTGAAAACAGCCTTGATTGGTTGCATGGCGTCCTCTAGGATGCGGAGCTCAATTCCGCACACCACCGCGCCGTCCCTACATATCTCGTAGGGCCAAGCCTGGGCAGGAAAGATATCAATAGAGGCGTTGGGCAACACACAGCTTATGTACGTCCGCTCACACCCGATCCCCAGAAAATAAGGTCGCCGGGAGGGAAAAGCTGTCAGCTTCTGTTGCTAAGCTTTGGGGACGAAGCTTCATGTATCCGATCCTGCAGCCAGACCCCTGACCATGTGGCCTTTAGACGAACTATGTTGTGGTTCGGACGGTTGAAAAGGGCAGGAAGATCTGAGCTAGACATGGATGCCCAAGGGTCCTACGTCTCGCCGTTCCAAAACTTAGGTTTAGGGTTTAGGGTTCAGGGTTTAGGGTGACAGCTCTGTGGCCCGCGCCTGCTTCGAGCGTGGGTCCATTCGATTGATCTGGCACGCCCCAATAATGCTTCCTCCTCAGGCGACCCTAAACCCTAAACCCTAAACCCTAAGCCCTAAACCCTATAAACCCTACACCCTAAGCCCTAAACCCTATAAACCCTAAACCCTAATTTTCGATCCTAGATCGGCCTCTGGTGCTCTTGGAGCCTGATGGCTTTAAGGTGAAATGACAAGAAGGAGCTCTGAGAAAATCGATGAGTAATGTAGGGGCCTCAATAATTAGAATGGGGTTTTGGGCTCTTTTGAGGTCTAATTATAACAAGGAACCTAAGGAATAATGGTTAACTACTTCTATATTAATTATTCAGGCTGCTATATAATATCAGAATGCTACGGAGCATCTTGAGATTCTACCGTGAGCTCTCTCGCTCTCTCTCTCTCTGCAAGGTGTCCCCTAAAGCCTAAACCGTCATCTTCGAAGCTGTGGCTGGCCTAAGCCCAGAACCCCTGAACTCTCATCCGATAAATACTAAAGCTTAAACCCTAAACTCTGAACCTTATGGGTTTAGGGTTCCCTGAACCCTAAACCCTAACCCCCGACCCCTAAACCCCAAAACACTCCAAGACCTTAACCTGGCAATGTGAGGAACAGGAACCCTTTCGACTCAAATCACCCAGCCTGGGTTTCGGGGATATAGGGCTTCAGGGCTTTTGCATCCTGTCAAGACCATGGAAGCACAAAAATACGCGTGGAGTTCGAACCCTGACATGCGGAAGCATGAAATTAAGAGCTGTAAACGAAGAAGGGCCCTAACCCGAAACCCTACACCCTGAACCCTACGCCCTAAACCCTACACCCTGAACCCTAAGACCTACACGCTGAACCCTAAACCCTGAACCCTTCACCCTGAACCCTAAACCCTGAACCCTACACCCAGAACCCTAAACCCTACAGTAAACCCTACACCCTGAACCGGTAAACCCTCAACCGAATATTCCGACTCGGGCTTTGGGGTGCATTGTAGCGTCACAATCATGGGGGAGCCCTCAGGAATTCTGCTAGGGTTGAGGGTTTCGGGTTTGGGGGTTTCAGGGCTTTGAGTTATGGGTTTTGGGTTTTTGGGTTTAGGGTTTTGGGTTTAAAGTTGTGGGTTTTGGGGTTTGGGGTTTAGGGTTTTGGGGTTTTGGGTTTAGCTGGTAATTGGCTTCTCTGTTTGACCCTTCAAGTAACCCTACACCTAGAACCCCTTTTTTGAAGGAATCCTTCAAACTTATCGTAGCTTGCCTTCGTAGACCCCCTGTTAAACGAGTCCTTATCGTGGCCCTTATAGACCCCCTGTTAAAGGATCCCCACCCTAAACCCGAAACCGTTCTAAAGGACCCCCTATCGTAGCCCTTATAGACCTTTCCTTTAAAGAATCCCCTATTATAGGACCCTGTCGCACCCCATAAAGGGGACCCTATGATAGAACCCTACAGAACCCGATAGACCTCCTTTTAAAGGATCCTCTGTTGTTGCAGTTTCGGCTAAGAGCTCATCATAGTCGAGGCGAAGAAGCCAAGGCTTCGACGTCTCTGCTGCTAGGGTTTAAGGTTTAGGGGTTTATGGGCTTCGGGTTTAGGGTTCAGGGTTTAGGGGCTTCGGGTTCAGGGTTTAAGGGCTTAGGCTTAGGGTTTAGGATTTAGGGCTTAGGGTTCAGGGTATAGGATTAAAGCATATGTGGGATTACTGCTCATGCTTCGTTATTTCACGCAAAGAGTTGCTCAAAACCGGCTGAAAAGTATGCCAGGGCTCCCATGACGCCGGAGAATGAGACCTCCACGTGGATTGTCCGAGAGGTCGTCTTCGCCCTAGCTGCAGATGCTTGTCGTCATAGTGTTGTTCGGCATTCTGCCTGTGACTCTGCCTTCTCGCCGTGCCCAAACCAAGACATACGTAAAACATGAGTTAGGCACAGAGACAGAGACGACAAAGTGCCAACGGGCGCAATCACGGCGAGCCAGAAACAACCGACAACAAACGTGCACGGAGTCACAGAGAGAAAGACATAGCGAGAGTGAGAGATACAGACACGAATGAGAGACAGAGAGAGATGTAGAACGAGAGCGCGAGACACCAAAGGTCAAGAAACACAAAGCAAGGAAACTGCTATGCACAGGTAATTGTGAACCATGTGCACTTTGCAGGTTCAAGTGATCGCTCTCACAGACACACAAAACGCCACTTCACACTAGTCAGCATGCGGCCTCATTGAGCCGAGGTCGGGCGGAATGGCAAAAGTCTGGGTTGGGGCATTTCCCAAGTTGAAGTCGTCCATGCCTTGGCCGCATGGATTAGGGCTTAGGGTTTAGGGTTTAGGATGTCCCTCCCCGGCTTGGAATGCGGAGCTCGGCTGCTTGTGACTTGCTCGGGCTTCGGAAAACCCCAAAGCCCCTTGACCCCTAAACCCTAAAACCCTAAAACCCCTAAACCCCTAAAGTTCTAAAACTCCAGCGAGGTTTTCGTAAAAATCCGGAGTGGAAATTAGGATACTTTCAAGGCTACTCGGGTTCAGGGCTTGGGGTTGAGGATTTGGATGTCGAGATGCCTTGTATGTCATCACTGGAGACAAGCTCGCTGCTCTTATGATCCAGAACCCGCAGGAAGTAAGTCTTCGCACCAGCACCAAAGATGCCAGTCTCGACCGGCACATCGAGCAGCTTGGAAACCACCACTAGGCACTCCTTATTGGCGTAATGGAAAGGCTTCAATTTTCTAATCAGAAACGGGTTTGGGGGACTATTAGAGTATAGTTGTAGAAAGGCACCCTATAAGGATTAATGAAAGAATCTTAGACTACACTAACTCTTTCGACCCCCTAAACCCTAAACCCCCCTGTACGCGTGAAAGAACAGCGTTAAACTCAGCCGTGGGCTTCGATCATAGCCCTCGGCCCAAGTGGGGGTTTCCAAAAATTAGGGGTACCTTACTTTGGGGTCCTTATAATAAGGATCCTACTATTTAGGGTGCTATATTAGGGTCCCCTATTTTCGGAACCCCCAAGTCTCAAACCGAAACCATTCGGCTCAAAAATCATAGGGGGCCCAAAACCCTAAAGCACAAATCATACGGTACTCGACCCCAAGCTTAAAGTTTTGCCCTACACCTTTAAATCCCAAACCCCCAAAAGCAGAGAGAAAACCGCTAGACCCCAAACCCCTAAAGCCCTAAACCCTAAACCCCTAAACCCCTAAACCCTAAACCCCCAAAACCCTAAACCCCTAAACCCCTAAAGCCCCTACAAAGGCCCCGGGCACCTTGGGAAGGACGCTATCCGCCCCCGGCGCCGGCATGCTGACACCCATGGGCCCCAGGGAGCCATTTGGGCCCGGCGGTAAGGATCCGGGGCCCAGGGAGGCCATGGGATTCCTCTCTTCGTCACCAGGGAGCCCTATATTAGGTTCAGGGTTAGGGTTTAGGGGTTTAGGGTTTTAGGGGTTTGGGGGTTTAGCATTTAGGGCCCAAAAAAGTTCTAACTTTTGAAGACTAGACCGAACATAGAAGGCCAACAAGGGTATAAAGCTCTCCCATGTGCGACCTAAGGCTCTGTGGGGGCATGGTCTGGAAGGGTGGGCCTTGCAGGCTCGAGAAGGGGCCCTGCGATTGCATGGGGCTGGGCCCTGGTCCCGGTGATGGCGGGCCCCGGGAATGGAAGGAAGCACAAGGATTGGAAGCAAAAGGGCTGGGGCCCTGTGAGGGAAAGCTTGCGCCGCTGGGGCTCCGGCCTTGTAGGTGCCCGGGTGAGGGCATCGAGTCGGGGAGGGTGGTGCGGAACAAAGAGCTGGGAGGCCCCTGTGCAGGCATACTCTCGGGCATCATCGTTCGAAAGTTCGAGGAATTGCTGGCAGAAGGCCCCGCCGTTGGCGGCAGCGAGGCAGATGCCATGGCATCTGCCCCCAGACACAGCTTCAGCTCTTGATCTGAAATGTACTGAGTCTGCGTAAGCAACAGGTCAAGGTTTAGGGTTTAGGGTTTAGGGTTTAGGGTTTAGGGTTTAGGGTTTAGGGTTTAGGTCAGAGTCAGATCCACTCGACGAGACTGCAAGGGACAGGCTTCTGCTCCTAGCAGTTACAGGGCCCCTACAACTTACTTCTCTACTATAGGGGCCTCAAGCCGTCAATAACTACCTATATCATTTTGGGGGGGGCTCCTTATATTCTAATTATACTACAAAGGACCCCAAAACCCTATTCTAATTATTAAGGTCCCTAAAGTACAGGACTGTAGGGCCCATGGCGAACTGATTAACGTGAGTAGGACAGCCCGTGTGAACGTTTCCGGCGCTGGCAAGTATCGAATACCGCCTGCTAGTGTGGACGTAGACTTGTACACCCTAAACCCTAAACCCTCGAAAGAAAGCCCATGCAAGCGAAGCTCGCCGTGTGCAGGAAAGCCCGAACCGACAAGTAATTACTCCCACCCCTATAACATGGGAGCATGGATTTTGTGGGTATATTGTAGAACTACAATCATCAACCCTCAGGAGGACTAATGCAGGAGCCTGAATAATTAGAATCGGTTTTGGGGTGCTTCTTATTATCTTTGTCTAATACAGCCCCAAACCCTATTCTAATTATTAAGGCCCCCTAAACCCTAAACCCTAAACCCTAATGTTATTAGTCTTTGAAATTTCTGTGATGCCTCCTTATCCCCCAGAGCCTGCTCATCCGAGCCAGGCAACACTTCGGCCCAGAACCGTTTCAGCTCCTTCTTGGGGCTTTGGGGGTTGAGGGTTTAGGGGTTTAGGGTTTAGGGGTCGAGGGTTTAGGGGTTTAGGGGTTTAGGGTTTAGGGGTTTAGGGTTCAGGGTTTAGGGTTTAGGGTTGAGGGTTTAGGGTTCAGGGTTTAGGTTTGTTTTGTTTAATATCGGGGCCAACTAGGATGGGGTTTCGGCGTAGTTTGTACTATCTTCTTCTAAGGGACTGGGGTCACTACTTCTATGTATTCAAGCTTTGCTATCTGGATTGCTGGAATCCCGGGCGGGGCTTCCACGGATTTTCACGTATGAAACGGTACTCTTTGCTTCAACTTGCAGCAGTAGGGTCCTGTGTCTCCTGTGCCTATTGTTCCCCTAAACCCCTAAACCCAAACCCCTAAACCCCTAAACCCTATAATCAGGAACCCGAAGGAATAATAATTTTGGTAATTATTTAGGCTTCTATAGTAAGTGGGCTGTCTTGCCTGACATGAAAGCTGGAAGCCTCAACGATGTCGAATCTCGTCATCTCGAAGTCCAACATACCACGCTACTCTCATTGTTCCCCAAAACCCGAAACCCCTAAACCCCTAAACCCCTAAACCCTGAACCCCTAAACCCCTAAAACCCTAAACCCCTAAAACCCGAAACCCCTTACTAAAGCCCCAAACCCCCCAACCCTAAACCCAAATCCTCAGCCCCGACTTCGAGAAGTTCAGCATTTGACGCCAGATTCCAGCAGAGTCCTGCACGTGAGCCGTGGTCGGCCCCGATTCCGTCGACCTGGTTTGGGGCTTAGGGTTTAAGGGTTCAGGGGTTTAGGGTTTAGGGGTTTAGGGGTTTGGGGCTTAGGGGGTTAAGGGGTTAAGGGGTTAAGGGGTTTAGGGGTTTAGGGGTTTAGGGGTTTAGGGGTTTAGGGGTTTAGGGGTTTAGGGGTTTAGGGATTTAGGGTTTTGGGGTGTGGGGTCTCCATAAGGGCTGAGGGGTTCCTTGAA